AAAATGGATGCCTGCTTCATCATTGCTAAAGATAAAGCACTAGAGGCGGCGGATGAACACATCTCTAAGAATGTCACTTTCATTCATGTGGTTTCAAAGAGGTGTATAGAAGAGAAATGGGACATTTATGGAAACCAGTTTAGTTATAACTCCTGCTTCTTTTATGGATCTTCTGGCTCTCCGGTTTTTGACGAGGACTGCAAGCTGATTGGTGTGCACACTGGTGGATATGTGTACCTGGAGAAAGGAGGTAAAACTAGAAGCGTAATGGAGTATGGCTATACCATGCAGTCCATTCTGGATATGATCCGAGCTCAGGTGAAGATAAAAGGTTTGAATGAGATTGTCAATCTCTTGGAAAACTACAGCGGTGTGTTTGAGACTCCAGAGAAAGAGGAGGAGACCGACTGTGAGATGGAAGATGTTGAGTGAAGCCGTCCATTTATTTTGGGAGAAAATGACTAAAAAGTCATGATGACAACAGTTTTGGATGAACTAATCATTTTATTACTCACCCTCACGTCGTTTCAATCTCCTGAGACCTTCATTCATCCTTAGAACACAAATGAAGATATTTTAGATGAAATCCTGGAGCTCTCTCATCCTCCATAGACAGCAATGGTTCAGAGACGTTTGAAGTCCAGAAAAGTAAGCAAAAACATTAAATGCAACTTCAGTGGTTCAACTGTAATCATGCAAAGCTCCAAGAACACTTTTGTGCTAGAAAAAAAAAAGTAAATACAACTATTACTATTTCAATTTTTTGTATGGCTTTATGTAGGGCTGGATGATTAATCAAAATGAAACCACAAATGCGACTGAGCAAAGCTGCCATTATCATGCACATTATTGCACATTATTGTGATTCGTAGTAAATTTTCTCTGAATGCCAGAGGGCGATTTGAGAAACCCTGGAAATCCCCATAGCATTAATAATGCATTATATTTATAGACCATTGTGAGGGATGTAAACAAAAACAATGGTCCCAACGACTTCCTGTTTTACATTTTTAATTAAAGTAGCTTACGAGAATCCAAAAAGAGCCACATGTTGATTAATAATGTTATGAGAGCTGTTTTAACATTAGGTTATGATTAAATTGCCTCTTGTTACAGTTATGAAATAGTTTAATAACAAGCAGGAAATATTCATGGACTAATGACATGACCACATTGAAATGGTCTATACCAGGGGTCACCAATCTCGGTCTTAGAGGTCTGGTGCCCTGCAGGGTTCAGCTCCAACTTGCCTCAACACCTGCCTGGGTGTTTCAAGTATACCTAGTTAGACCTTGATTAGCTTGTTCAGGTGTGTTTGATTGGGGTTGGAGCTAAAAATCTGCAGGACACCGGCTCTCCTGTAACAAGTTTGGTGATCCCTGGCCTATACTGTGCTTTTCTTACACCCAAAGTAATTTTAAGTTTGTTACACCCCAAGTAATCTGGTCGGGTTCCACGGCTCCTGCAGTACAGCCGCGGGAATGCAGACCTCTATCCAGAAGTATCACGGTAACAGCCGAGAGGAGAGGAAAAGTCACGCCAGCAGGTCAAATGGGCCACAGTGTGTGTGTGTGTGTGAGAGAGAGAGAGATGGTGTTTACTTTAATTCTCTCACTTGCAGTGAAATAGGGGCTTCTGCTGTAAGTGTCAGTGAAAGACTGTCCAGCAAACAGACTCCCAGTGAAATTGCGCACAGTTTCTGCGTTTTTAAGTAGTCAGAGCATTGTAAATACTCACGCTCGCCTCCCTCACCATAGTAAGCTATGGCGACAGAGTGCATATGAGATAAATGACGTCAGTACATAACAACCGGTTATGATTATTACTGAACCAATTCCAAATTGTCTGCATCTGCATCGCTGTGCACCGAAGAAACAATTCATTTTCACACCCCTACTGTGTAGTAAATGCTGCTGTATCTGACAGCATCTGCCAGAGGTTCACTTGAACCAGCTTTACTGACAAAATGTGCATGATAATCAGTTTTGAGTAAATACCCATTTTTGTTTTTTTAAGATAAAGTGTTACTAATTAAAAGTTTTCCTTTAAAATTTTTGGTTTTGATGTGATTGTAGGTCTGTTTGATAACCAAAGCAGAACAATTTGGCAAAGTCCAAGTACAGTTATAGTTAATTTTTTACATGCTTATGTGTTTGTATATTCTCTAACACAACAAGATAATTGTTTTACATGTTTTATTTTATTCAATCTTTTCTATATTGATGTTTAATGCCGTTTATATGATTTACAACACGTTTTATAATCGTCATCTCTGAATCACATACTGAAAGTACTTTGGGCAGTGGTGCTGTCAATGGGCAATCAGGTGAGAGACAGGGCAACTAAATGTAGATGCAGTTTTGTTTCATATATATATATATATATATATATATATATATATATATATATATATATATATATATCTATATATATATATATATATATATATATATATATATATCATCTCCTTTACAGGCAGAGTCATGTAATAAGAGACTACAATCCACAATTAAAATTGTATTTCTACTATAATACATTTAAAAAGAAAATCTAGGTCTCAAATCTAATTGTGTTGCTGGATGTGTTGATTACAGCAAGCACATACATTTAATATAACAAATACAGCTTTAATTTTCATTACTTCAGTATCCATATAACTTGACCTACGGTTTGTTTTCATCTTGCTGTTCATACTGAATGATTTCTTTGTACATTTATACAATAAACATGAATGAAAGCATGAGGAGTTTTCTTGTATTAATGTATTTCAGAGGAAAACAGGAAGTTCTGAACTAATTAATTTTTTTGTAGGCCTTTTTATGCATTATATTTTACCTTGAGGACAAACCAAAGAATTTATATGAACATTCATTTTTTTTTGTCTTAGTTCCTTTATTAATCAGGGGTCGCCACAGCGGAATGAACCACCAACTTGCAGCACATGTTTTACACTGTGGATTCCTTTCCAGCCACGACTCAACACTGGGAAAACACCCATACACTCCCATTCAGAACTCCACACAGAAATGCCAACTGAACCTACTAAAAACAGTCTGCAGAATTCATGTCATTGCATGCAAATACACAAACGGCCCTCAGCACATCATTTTGGGCGTATACATTTTTAAAACGAAATATAACAACATAAACTCCCTTTGTAATAAAGAGATGTGCAACCACTATCATTCTTGATGGCGTAAACAAAAACGTTATCGCTCCAGGCACAAAATAAACCGACACCTGTATGGCACCCAGAAGGTAACTTCCAATGACTCAGCAACGGTTATAATGTGGTAACAAGCATATGGCCTACGTGTAAAAACAGATATTCCCATCTGGAACAAGTGAATTCACTTGACTACTGAATGGCAGATTAGGCTGTTTGAAAACTAACCCAATCCCAATAAAAACTGCAGTTTGTGGTCTCATGCAGCTCCAACTCGACATACTGTAATTCAAAGTTTGCAGTTAAAAACATGTTTGTTAGGTGTTAAAAATTCTGATTTTGTTTAGTTATTCGTTCACATTTAGTTACTTGAGGAAGACATCAAGCGGTTTATTTCTTTAATACTTAAAGGGACAACAGCAGGGCCAGATTAACCAATGGGCCTTATGGGCACAGGCCCAGGGGCCCGTGCGCACTCTGGGCCTCAGTGAGGGGGGAGAAAAAAAAAAAAGACTATTTCGGAGTGTCTTTTTAGGCTAATTGCAATTAGTGCACCTAGTTGGAATAAGCTGTTCACGGTTTACGCCTGTCGGTGCCTGATTGACATCGACAACATTGAGGCCTTTTCCATACACACCTTCTTCAAACAGACCCATGATCTGGAAAATGAGGGTATAGAAGAAGACATTATAACGTTAAATGAGTAAGCTAGCATTAACCAGGCGGAGAAGACTAACGGCAGCGCAGCGCGGACTGGATTCTTTGTCAGAGAGACAGACAGAAAAGGAGAGAGAGAGAGAGTAAAGCCTTGAAGAGAAGAGAGACGGGAGTAAAGAGGTATAGTGTGTGTGATTTCGGATACTTTAGGAGGAGGAGGAGAGAGACAGTAAATCATTAATAAGTGTGTGTATTATGAAAGAATCAGATTCATAGAACTGGATTGGAGAGGCATTGTGTGTAATATGCCATGCCAATAATATGCTTTATACGTTTGTAAAAGCAATACATTAAAATACTCTTTAAAAATTATATATATATTATATAGTACTGTTTTAGTGAACTTAAACAAGTATACTAAATAAAATTAATTTTCACTAGTTTTATTAGTATTTTTATTCAATGCTTTGAAAATTAAGTTAAATATTTGTAGACTATAAATACATATGTACTATATATTATTTATTTAAATATGTGAGCAACAAATTATAGATTCGTTTTATTTAAAAATTATTATATTATTCTTATTTTATTAATTCAACTATAGGGGTGTGGCCAGGTAGGGGGCCTTACAAGACAATGTGCCCAGGGGCCCCTGAGTTCTTAATCTGGGCCTGGACAACATTAACTAATGTTATATATTATTTGGGATAACATTGTGTTACGGGTTGTCGATAAGCTGTTTATCATAAGGAGATAATAGCTACTTGTGCTACTATTGTGGTGAGTACATTTTCAGTTTTGGGTGAACTATCCTTTTTTATTAAGGTGTTGGAAACCAGATCAACTAAACGGCTTTGATTCAAATCTAATTTATATTATCAGAAGAAAAGAGTTTTCCAAACACTCTGCTGTATGGATTTTACTCAACATAACAGGAAGCCTATTAACTCGGCTGTTTAGTAAAGTGGGAGTGGATGAAAACTTAAGAGGTGATTTTGTTTGCTTAGAACTGTATTGATAAAGTGAATTATATAAATATATAGTTTTCAGAATGGACGTCTGGTTCACACTCCTTCTCAGTAGGTGACGTTAATACACTATAAACATTGGTGTTACACGCCGTAAAAGAAGAATAGCCCGGATGTTTACTCTGGCTATTTGAGATGGTAGCGCGCGAAACAGGATATGGGAATCACAAGACTGGAACAGGCGACGCGCTTTCTCCGTCTCCACTGAAACCGTTTTGAACTCACTCTAGGTAAGTTAACATTTAAACACGATATACAACATTCCCATTTGAACTGTTTGTGAATGACTAGCTTTTGACTTCAGCGACTAATTCGATAATAAAATAACTGTAGACTAACTCTAAAACATAACCTTATACATACCCAGCGACGTTATATGGCGGTTTACACTACTAAATCCAGCAAATACTGTATAAATTAAACCTTGTGACTTATTCGTGAAGGAAAAAACTTACATTGTAACGTAAATATAAGACAAGCAAGTCAAAAACAGCATATTCAGTGCAGCGAAAAGCCTCCCCTCCCCTTCTTGAGAAAGCGAAAATGAAAGTGAGGCGCGGACATTAGCTGGTGGCCTAATGTAGACTTAGTTATAGGCTGTATTACCAAAAGGATCCATTTTTAAGGTGATGATGACTTAATTAAATATGACAGATATTCAAAGCTTAATTTTATTTTCTCAGTTAAAGCTTTGGATGTAAATACATGATAATATGATGTCTTTGGTCAGAAAGACTGCTATGAGCATTTCCAATGTTATGGATGTGACATCTGCAGTAAAATCCCAAAACATAAATTCTTATAGAAAGTATTTGTTAACATTATATTAAAACGTTTGTTCATATTTTACAAAACTACTAACCACAGAGTTATAGGATCAAAAAAAAAAAATCAATCCATAAACATTTCTTTATATTTTAAATGAGGAAAATGAATATGCGTCATGGATGTGACCAAAAATTCTGCAAGTTTACAGTAGACAACATACTTCGTAGAAATACTGTGTTAAACTAAACAACCCAAAAGAAATAATGCTAATCAAAAGGATAAGAGTTGCTCTCAGAACAAAAATTATTTATTGTATTTTATTTTTGCATTTATGAGGAAAAGCTTGGTTATGGATGTGACAGATGTGAAATTGGCAATTGTGTGACTTTGGAAATATGATTGTTTGAAAACATCAAAAAAACACATTTTGAGTACTTTTACAGTACTGTAAAATACAAGCCTACAGAAGAACAAACTTTAAAAAGGTTTTGCTATTTTGGTGAAAACTGTTTTTTTTTTATGGTAAGGTTGACATGGAATTGCTCCTATGGTAACTCTAGTGGAAATAGAATTCTGGTAGTTTCAGTGTTAATAAAACAACACAACATGTTAACGTTACTGTGAGGTTGGTTTAGAGTTGTGGTAGGTGTAGGCATGGGCTGGTGTAAGAGTCTGACGGTATGATAACCTTAAATAAAAATATCAGGGTTTCACGGTATCACGATATTGTGATTTCTGCTCTAAAATATATTCTTTTAAAATGTCTGGGTAAAAAACAATAACGTTTTCCCTTCTGAATATATATATATATATATATATATATATATATATATATATATATATATATATATATATATATATATATATATATATGTATATATTCCAATATGTTTATTGATTTTTTTTCCCTTTTCACCCCATCAACAAGGCATACAGACAACAATGCAGCCTACACAGCACATATCTACACCCTTCTTATATACAGTACACTGTAAAAAAAAAAAAAAAATCGTAAAAAAAATAGGTAAAATGACTGGCAGCTACGGCTGCCAAACAAAAACCATAAAATTACGGTGAAATGTCTTTGTTGAAATAAGTGCAAAAATTAATAAAGCTACAGATATTTTCATTAAAATGTTTACAGAAAAACACTGTTATTTTACAGACTTTTCCTAGATTATTACGATCAAATCCATTTAATAAGTTAACACAATAAGAGTTTTACAGAGAAACGCTGTTATTTTACAGACCTTTTCTAGATTATTATGATCGAACACCATCAATAAAGTAACTGCACTAAAAGTTTAAGAGAAAACAATGTTATTTAAAAGAATTTTCCCTAAATCATTACGATTAAACTCCTTTAATAAAATGCCAAGACATGCTCATGGTCGTAATTTAACAGTTTTATTTTGGATCAAAAAAGTTTGGAAAAAACAACAAACGAGATACAACAGATTAACTATAGCATTACAGTTACATTTTATTAAATAGTATTCCATTAAAACATGTAGAGGTTTAAGTTATATGGAATGATTAAGTTCCAAATCTTAAATGAAATGGAACTGTAACGTGAAGGGGACCCTGACAAAGAAGTGCAGATCCAAATGTAGGTTTATAACAGAGTGATGGTCAGGTAAGCAACAGTCAACACAGGGGCAAACTGCAAACAGATGTATGCAGGGAATCCAGAGTCATGGTCAAATAACAGGCAAATGATCAGTCCTGGCAGCAAACAACGTAAACATTTAACAAACAAAGCAAGGCAAAAGAAGAGAAACGCGTCTAATGTGCACAGTAACAGTATAACTAGACTAAGCAATTGGTGTGTGTGTCTGTGCTGCTTTTAAAGTCCATGTAATCAGTTTATAACCATCCTCTGACTGTGTGTGCAATCAGTGGAATCTGGAACAGGTGCATGTGATCGCTCTTAGTGTGTAACTAAATTGAACGGATTTGATCGTAATAATCTAGGAAAAGTCTGTAAAATAAAAGTGTTTTTCTGTAAACATTTTATTGAAAATATCAGTAGATTTATTTATTTTTTGCACTTAATTTCAACAAAGAAATTTTACCGTAATTTTATGGATTTTGTTTGGCAGCCGTAGCTGCCAGTCATTTTACCTTTTTTTACGATTTTTTATTTTTTTTACAGAGCAAGTGATTACAATTTATTACTTTAATTTTACGTAATTTTAAATATACTTCATAAAAAACAGGAAAAAACACTGCGTAAATAATACGGCAATTTTATTGTATAAAACAGACAAATTGCTGTAATTTGTCATTACTTATATAGTACATAAAATAACAGTCAAGCTGTTAATTTACAGATATTGTTTACAATTTTTACGAACTTTTGAATATAATTTGTCCTTAATAATAAAGTAGCTGAAATGAAAGTCAAACTGTTAATTTTGAGAGATTGTTTGTCATTTTACAAAGTTTTGAATATAATGTGAAATGACAAAAAATTACTGTCAAAATTTTTTTTTACAGTGTATATATATATATATATATATATATATATATATATATATATATATATATATATATATATATATAATATGTATACACATATACATATACACATTCAAATGGGTAAAAAAAAGAAAAAAAGATATAGTAATTTAATTATATATATGTATGAAAAAACATGTTTACAAACATACAATTTACATAATATTCATATATGGTTCCCAAAGGTATTCAAAGTTTTTCTGCTTGCCTGTGGTGATATAAGTTAGTCTCTCCAGTCCAATAGAGTATAATGCAATAGCCCTTCTAGCTTGAAGGAAACCAAAATCCAAAATGTTTGTGTTTCCAATGAAAACTATATATTTTATTTTTTGAAATATTTATAATATTTTGGAACAGTTAACATGTCAGGCTAAATAATTCTAATGAATCATTTACTTCTGCTGTCTTCATCAGTTTTAAAAACACTGATTTCTTTACTATTTAAAAAGGCATCTTTGGAAATGTTTTTCTTCTAAAGATACTGTTGTCCTAAAAAAAAAATGTAAAAAGTAAATAAAAAAATCTTACACACAGGAACGGTATTACAGAAAATTTTGGCGGTTTTAAAACCTTGACTTTTCTAAACCATGGTGTACCTTGAAAACGGTTATCGTCCCAGGTTGGTGTAGACAATAATAAAACACAACAAGTTACTGACTTTCAAAAATGTTATGGTTCATTAGATTGATCATTCATTCATTCATTTTCCTTTGGCTTAGTCTCTTTATTTATCAGGGGTCGCCACAGTGGAATAAACCGCCAACTTATCCAGCATATGTATAGTGGACAGAATCTCTGCCTCCACACTGCATTAGTCCCACACTAGCAAGCAAGTTACCCGTTAGCACCGTTACCCGTGTGACCCAGCTGGACTGCTCAGTTATACTTATCATTTAGCTACACCTAGTGGACAACAAAAATCACTACAACACAAAAAAGTGGCTCCTACATATGTTTCACACAGCTGATGCCCTTCCAGCCCTGCTGAAAAATCCAGCTTAAACCAGCCTAGGCTGGTTGGCTGGTTTTAGTTGGTTGACCAGCCTGGTTTTAGAGGGGTGTTGGCCATTTCCAGGCTGGTTTTCAGCCATTTACAGCCTGGTCTTAGCTGGTCAGGCTGAAAAATGACCAGCTTAATCCAGCTAAAACCAGCTTGACCAGCCTGGTTTAAGCTGGACATAGCTGGTTTTGGCTGGGCTCTCAGCCTGGCTAGGCTGGTCAAGCTGATTTTAGCTGGTCATCTCCCAGCCTGACCAGCTAAGACCAGGCTGGAAATGGCTGGAAACCAGCCTGGAAGTGGCCAAAACCCCTCTAAAACCAGCCTGGTCGACCAGCTAAAACCAGCCAACCAGCCTAGGCTGGTTTAAGCTTGTTTTTTCAGCAGGGAGCTGCAACCCAGTACTGGAAAACATCCATACACACTAATTCACACACATACGTCCAATTTAGTCTCTTCAATGCACCCAGAGGACACCAACACGGGGAGAACATGCAAACTCCACACAGAAACGCCAACTGACCCAGCTGGACTCGTTCCAGTCACCTTCTTGCTGTGATGCGACAGTGCTAACCACTGAGCCACCGGGTGACTCCAATAAAATATCAATAACATGAATATTAATTTAAAAATCTAATTATGCATTTGTAGTATTTTGTGTATTGTTAATAAATATTGTACATACTGTAGGCCAAGAAATCATGTTAATATTCTTGACATAGCTCATTCTTAAATTTACATTGGGTACAGTAGGTGGTAGGGATGCTCATTTCGGATAATTTTGCTAACCGACAACCGCCGCTCATTAATCGGTTATTAACGGTTAACTGGTCAGATTACTAGTAATTGTATATTAAACAAATTGACGTGTCTATTTTGTGTCCGACAAATTAAATATTGCATTTTAAAATACTGATTTATTTTTATATGCTTGCATATTAATAACAGAACACAACAACAGAGCATTTTCACGCACCTGCAGTGTTTAGCACAGAAGAACAGAATAAACTAAATAAAATAAATAGGACTGCCCTAAATTATTTTCACTTAAATAATTAATTTATATTACAAAACGAAAATACTGACTGATTCTTTTTAATAACTGGCATAGGCTGTTTTTTTCCAATCATATGTTTTTTTTCTTCCGTCAAATAAAAATAGCTGACTTCCTCAAATTGCCTGCTCCACGGAAAATATGCATTTATCTAATGCCCCGCTGTTATTATTATAATAACAAACTTTTTACATTTTTATTAGAAATCATTATTTTAAAGAATATGTCCTGATATATGGTTTCCTTTCTCTCCCTCGCGGTTCAAGTGCGCGCGCTGCGTGATGAAAAGACAGCAACAACGCGCGCATATGTTGACTTTTTGTAAACAGTTTTGTTGTTTAAATATTATATAGCATTAATGTGCATACATGCTTTATAAGCTGTAAAATAAAAGGTAAAGCCTATTTGTTGCGTTTATGACGCAGATCCAGGTCAACATCAGCGCTTTTTTTTGGCATCAACACGTCTGTTTCAAACCGCAATATTCTTCTTCCATTTTGCTTCTTTGGCAAATGTGTCTGTAGCCACGGGTTATACGTTATCGTCCCTCAAAGTTAAGTATGTCTTGCAGTTGAACAAGTGGCCGACCACAGCTAACATGTTTTTTTTCATTCCAAAAACGCGAGGCGCACCTCATGCCTTTAGGTTGACAAGGAAAAAGAAGAGAAGAAAGCGCGGTCCTCTTATGAAACGACTGAATCGTTTGAGTATCGAAGTACCTAAATGAGTATCGATTGTGCAAAAGTGTTGCTGTATATGTTGTTACAATTGTAATATTTAATAATATTATGATATTCAGGATTTGTACATTCATCCAGCTCTGGATAACTTAAAACAGCGATTAGACCTTCAGAGCGGCATTAATGCGTCCTGCAGTAAAGCGAAACGGCTATAAACTCCAGCATGATAGAGTGATTATATACAGAGCCATATACCTTTATCTCGAAATAAAGTATAACTATAGAATCTGTGTTCATCTTAACTGAAAGCTTCTGCGTGTTTGCTGACCTCACGCATCGCGCACCTGTCAGTCAGTCAGTCAGCACGTAACCCCAAAGGATTAAACAATAGCGCACAGCACTATACGGTTACAGAAAAGCTTACGCTGTTATAATCCACTTACCTTTTAATACGTTTTAATGCGATTTTAATCCGCTTAAAAACAACAATAACTGAATGTTTTGAATGGGTAATGTAGCCGTGGCGGGATGCATTTTGTTCCACGCCATGGAAGAATGAATGTAGCGGAAACCAAGCTGTTTAAAAGTTCTTTGTAGTTGTCTTGAAAACAAACTGCTGCTCTGGGATGAGCCGCGTGCAAAATATGCCCCTCTTAACGCAAAGGCGCATTCAATCCGCCCCTTATGCAGTCAAACTAAAAATATATAAAATAATATTTTTAATCGTTTAACTGATAGCATTAATCGGTCACAAACGCACCCTTTCGGTAATCGATTATTTTGAGCATCCCTAGTAGGTGGCAGTAATGCTTCTAAGTAGTTAATAACCATTGAACGGGAAAAAAAAGAAGACAACTGATCCATTATTGACCATATATGGTTCAATAATATAATGTCATCTTATTGTTCACAAGTTGTTGCCTTTGTTAGATCACACTCTCCACGCCAGATAATTAGCAGAGCAGAGTTTAATGAATAATCTTAATTGCGTATGGTTCAAGGCTCAGACTTTGTCTGACCAGGAGAAATCCAACAAGTTATTATACCACAAGCAACAGCAATAGAAAATTACTGCTTCACAACATTGTCCAGAGACAATACAGACCTTGAATTGGATGCATTCTCTTATCTCCTACTCATGAAAACAAGTGTGTCTTGAATCCGCGCAGTCATAAGATTATAACAATATGGAAAAATGGAAATAAATAATAATGAAGCAATAATTATAGGAAAATAATAATACTAAAATATATAAACGCAATAATATGAAAAATAATAACCAATAGTAATTAAATCATTTACCAATGATCAATAAAATGAAGTAATTTTATAAATCAATGGATAAACAATGCACATCGATGGAGTTGCTCTTCAGTGTTTAAACTTTCAGCAGTGAAAATTAAACCACACTGAACTGAACTTCAACACTGAAAACTAAGCTGACACAGTTTCAGTTTACTATAATCTTCTATGTGAAGCTGCTTTGACACAATCTACATTGTAAAAGCGTTATATAAATAAAGATGAATTGAATTGAAAATGACTTATGTTGATTTGAATAAATAAAATTATTAAATTAGGAATAAATTAATGTAAACAGATGAAAATAAAACACAACACAAATGAATGGTTGCTTTCTTGAAACAACACATACATAAGTTTGCTACAAAGTTTATCAGATCCATAGTTCGATTCTTCACCTTCTTTAAGTGTTTCTCTATTTTATTTTATTGGTACTACTTACTCATAATTCATCTAAAGCATCATGGGATTTAAGAAGTATGTATTGTTTCAGGTTTTTCGTGAAATAATTTGTAATTTGTCCTTTTCACAGAAACACTGAACTGTCAATGTCACTTTTGGCCATCAAGAGCGAAAAAATGAAGAAAATGAACAAAAAGAAGAAAATGGACAAAACAGGGAACCATAGCATTCGCGAATTCTTAGTGGTGACAACATTTCAGTATTACCATATTTATAACATTATATTGAACTGAAGTGTTTATAGTTAAGACTGTTGATTTTTTATTTTTTTTTTTCAGAAAATGTCGACTGACAACAGCAGTGAAGCCAGGAGGATTTCACAATCCAGTGAAAATGTTCAGGTATAGTTGAAGCCAGAATTATTAGACCCCCTGAATTATTTACCCCCACCCCCTGTTTATTTTTCCCCCCAATTTCTGTTTAACGGAGAGAAGATTTTTTCCACACATTTCTAAACATGATAGTTTTAATAACTAATTTCTAATAACTGATTTATTTTATCTTTGTCATGATGACAATAAATAATATTTGACTAGATATTTTTTAAGACACTTCTATACAGCTTAAAGTGACATTTAAAGGCTTAACTAGGTTAATTAAGTTAACTAGGCAGGTTAGGGTAATTAGGCAAGTTATTGTATAACGATGGTTTGTTCTGTAAACTATCGAAAAAATATATAGCTTAAAGGGGCTAATAACATTGACCTTAAAATGGCTTTAAAAAATTAAAAACTTTTTTTTTTCTAGCCAAAATAAAACAAATAAGACTTTCTCCAGAAGAATAAACATTTCTTGCTCTGTTAAACATCCTTTGGGAAATATAAAAAGTAAATTCAAAGGGGGGCGAATAAAAGTAAAGTCTCACAACAGAGTCTGTCAATCAGTTAGGGCAAAAGAACCAGTAATTTAATTAATTATAAAATAATATTACATTGTTCTTTATTACTTTGTTTCTTAAATTAGGGTTTTATTTTATTAAACACAGAAATAGATATTAGAATACGATGGAAGCAATAAAAGTAGTCTATATGGCTTGTGTACGGCTATGTTATGGCTATGTATCTTAATTAATAATAATAACACATTTGGCATTTGATTGTTGCTACTATTATTCTAGGAAAAAGAAAACGATACGAGCATGAAAGAAGAAAAGGGGCAACGAAATAACGACCGTAATCCACTACAGGTTTGTTGCATATCGATAAACATCATTGAATAATTTATTTGCACAAACACTAAACATTTTTAAACTACTTCCAAAATCCAGTTTATTGCATGATCACTTTTATGATTCACAATGTAATCATAAAGCATGGACTTAATCAATATTGTTGACATTCACGCAGGAGAGGACAAACGATTTTTCTGAAGAAGCACAATCAAACAGTAATCTGCAGCAGGTATTATATTTTATCTATATAATATTTTATATTTTATTTTATATAAAATAGCTGAATGCTTGATTCTGATGAATTGACAAATATTCCAAGCATGCTTTTTTAGACATATGCACAACTTAAGTAGTTCCAGGCAGGTCTTGACCGAACATACAGATTGGTATCAATGTGCCAAATGATTTCACTTTTATTAAAATGCTGTAGTTAATAAATGAAGACTTCAGCAACTGTCAGAGTGTTACTATGGTTTCTATTAATGCTTGAGGTTAGCACAATTACATCAAACTGCGTTCAAAACTGACTGGAACTACCTGTGCATTAAACGATTTTATTGCACATGTTCTAGCCGATCAGAATTAAGAATTTCAGCAGACCATGGAATAAATAGTATTTTTACAAAGAGCTGGGTATATTTGTAAAATGTCATCAGACTTTGATAAAATGTTTAGTCGGTAATAATCTTAACAAATGACTATGCATTATGATAACATAATCGGATTTTGGATTATATGTTGATTACTTTTGAGTTAATCCTTATTTGATGTCACATATATTGAAGTAGGATAATCTTTTAGTATTTTGACAGAAACAAACAAACAAACAAAAAAAATAGTCCATTCTTTATCACCAACAAGATCCTTGCGTGCTTCCTAATAAAGTGCAGTGGTGGACAAAATAATGAAAAATTATATATAATCTGTATTTAATCTTTATTGGTGCTGTCAAGCGAATTATCATGCACTGTAAAAAAACTAAATCCTAAAAAAAAAAAGGTCAAATGACTGGCAGCTACGGCTGCCAAACAAAAACCATAAAATTACGCAAAAATTTCTTTGTTGAAATAAAGTCTACAGATATTTTCATTAAAATGTTCACAGAAAAACAATGTTATTTTACAGATATATAGCTATTTTGGATAAAAAAAAGTCCGGAAAAAACAATATATAAGATACAACTGATTAAAATTCTCAAAACTTTAATATACAGTTGTTACATTTTATTGAATAGTATATATGTAAAACATGTAGAGTTTTAAGTTATATGGAATGATTCAGTTCCAAATCTTAAATGAAATGGAACTGTAATGTAAAGGGGACGCTGACAAAGGAGTGCAGATCCAAATGCAGATTTATTACACAGTTGGTTAGCAACAGTCAACACAGGGGCAAACAAATGTATGCAGGGAATCCAGAATCGTGGTCAAATAACAGGCAAATGGTCAGTCCCGGCTGCAAACAACGTAAACAATTAACAAACAAAGCAAGGCAAAGGAAGAGAAACGCATCATAATGATCACAGTGACAGTATAACAAGATTTAGCAATTGGTGCTTGAGTCGGTGCTGCCTTTAAAGTCCATGTAATCAGTTCATAACCATCCTCCGACTGTGTGTGTGTGTGTGTGCGCGCAATTAGCGGTATCCGAAACATATGCAGGTTATTGAACGGATTACGGATTTGTAATAATCTAGGAAAAGTCTAAAAAATAACAGTGTTTCCCTGTAAACATTTTAATGACAATATCTGTAGATTAATTTTTTTTTTGCACTTTATTTCAACAAAGAAATTTTACCGTAATTTTATGGTTTTTGTTTGGCAGCTCATTTTTTTGCCAGTCATTTTTTTACTTTTTTTTTTTTTTTTACAGAGCAATTAATTACAATTTATTACTTTAATTTTACGTAAATTTAAATGTACTTAAAAAAAAAAACAGGAAAAAACACAGTGTAAATAATACGGCAATTTTATTATATAAAACAGACAAATTGCTGTAATTTGTCATTAATTATATAGTACATAAAATAACAGTCAAGCTGTTAATTTACAGGTATTGTTTGTAATTTTTACAGACTTTTGAATATTAATTAAAAATAACAGAAAAAATACTGTATAAATAATACTGTAATTTCCCTGTATAAAAAACAAAAATGTCAGTAAATTGTCTTTAATGATAAAGTAACTAAAATGAAAGTCAAACTGTTAATTAAGAGAGATTGTTTGTCATTTTACTACGTTCTGAATATTATTTAAAAATGACAAAAAATTAATGTAAAAAATTTTGAGATATTTTCTGTAAAATTAAGGCTTTTTTACAATGTGTTCAAAAAAGGTTTGTACAGATGGATGCATTGAAAAAATTACATGCCGCCTTTTGTTCCGTTTGTCAGACAGTTTCTCGAACTGTTCCCCGTTTATGAGCAAAAAACGTTTGAAAGTCTATAAAAGGGGTTTAACATTTCTTATTTTGGCTGATTTAAACAATTATAAACAACAAAACAGAAACATTTTGATGTTCTGATAGCGATTCCTATTTAGAAGAATCACTTCCTGCCCTCCATCTGTATTTCGCACGTCATTAATGACGTCATGTGAAAACAATCTATAAAAAACAAACTTTAGGCGGATTATGAACATTTTAAAACAAGTTTTCTTTAATTACAAGTTCTTGATTTTTGGAATCTGATTACATAATCCATATTACATTTAATCCCTTACTACCCAGCTCTGATTTCACAATATTGTTTATAATTTTATGAAAAATATTTAATGCAAAGTTGGTAAATGAAATGTTTTGGTTGTTGTTATTCTGAACAGAGTGAAGAAGGGCAAAGCCACGTTTTCAGTTTCCGCCACAGATACAAGAAGCATGCTGTGTCATGTGACACATCCAATACTGTATTCGATGCACTTAATTCAAACCCTATTTTCAAAAACATTATGATAAAAAACAAAGGTAGAGAAATAGTTATCCGGAGATCAAAAGGAGACGTTCCTAGAGCTGCTGTGAAGAGAGATTTCCCTTGCTGTCTTATTGAAAAATATGAGCTGTTGGATATAACCTTCATCAAGAACGGTGGAAACAATCCTACAGAGAAGAAAACTGTAAGGCGTTCGTTCTCCAAGGAAACAGGAAACATAGTAACCTTTAACATCAAAACAACAGGAGGGAAGAAAGTGAAACTCTTAATGAGAAACAGAGTGCTGAGGAGGAAAGTTGAAGATGTTTGTGTGTATGCATTCAAAGATGACAAGATAACAAATGCTCTTCAGCGTGATGGGCGGTTCATTAATGACATTTTCAAAAAACGATGCGGCCTTTTCGAGCGTAAGAGCGAGACAATCTTTGGAATGTCACAAAGTGTAGAGCATCTTGACGGAAAGCATTTTAAGATCATTGTTATGAAGGATAATCAGCAAGATAGTCAAAATGATTCCAATACTGATGTAAACAGTGAAGTGAATGCCGCATCCTCTGCTGATTTGAACAAAAGTGCTGATTTTCAGCATGATACTATCAACACTGAACGAGAAAAAACCCAAAAGCAGAAATCCACAAATTCCTCAACTGAATTTGTGAAAAAAATTCCAAACTCAGAAGAGACTCTGGAATTTCTGCGTGCTCAGTTTAAAGATTTACTGGAGACATTAAAGCAGCGAAAGAACCTGAAGAACAACTCTGAGGTCAAGAAGTTCTTCAGAGCAGAATATGATAAAAGTGTTCAGAGTTTTTTGGAAGTTAAGAAGGTGAAGCAGCTCACGGGACTCTCTGGCTCTGTGTGTCAGATTCGAGTGGAAGGATCCGCCAAGGGAACAGGCTTTCTTCTCTTTGACAGATTCATCCTAACGAATGCTCATGTTATTGGAGAATTCGACCCTTTCTCCAGGAAGCTTTCAAAGACCTTCACAGCAGTATTTGGTTATGAAGATTTGGAAGCAAAAGAGACCAAGAGTGTGTCCATCAAGCAAGACGTTGCAGCGTACTATCATGGAAAGTTCAGCATGGACAGGCATCTTGACTTCGCTCTTCTCGAACTCGATGACACTGATGAAGTTGCCGACTGTCCTAGATTGCTCAATTGCTACATTCATGGCCCTCCTCCTAACCGTGGTGGAATCTGCATTGTGGGACATCCAGATGGAGGAGTCAAGAAAATGGACCCCTGCTTCATCATTGAGAAAGAGCATCTACAAGAGGCTGCAAATGAACACGTATTAAAAAACATTGAGTTCATTCAAGTGATTACACAACAGTCTTTAGCAGAGAAATGGGAAATGCATGACAACCAGATCATTTATAACTCGTGCTTCTTTCACGGATCTTCCGGCTCTCCAGTTTTTGATGAGGACTGTTATCTGATTGGCATGCACACTGGTGGCTATGTGTACAAAGGAGAAAATGGCAAAACCAGGAGCATCTTGGAGTACTGCTATTCCATGCAGCCCATTCTGGAAAGTATCGGCACACAAGCCAAGAAAAATGGGAGATCTGACATCTTGAAGTTGCTCTCTGAAAATGGATGCTTAAATCTCAACATGGACGACAATGATGTGGAAATGGAAGATTTGCAAGATAAGGGTGACCATCAATAAAGGGGCAGTCACATGTCGCAGTAGGCCCTGTCCACATGAACATGGGTATTTTTTTAAAACACAACTTTTTCATTGTAGTTTGGCTGCTTATCTACACTTTTCGCCCCATAGACTTCCATTTATACGCATGCAAATGAGGTTGAGCAGAAATGCAAGCCTGTAGGACAAGTTTCGCAGTTTGCTGCGTTCTAAGGCCTAATCCCTGTTCTACCCCTTAGCCCTTCCCCTTACCCCTACCCCTTGTTTTGTGCATTCCCGTAAAGGGGTAGAGTTGTTCCAATTCTCTTTAGCTTGAAGACGTAGGGCTAAGAGGAAGGGGTAAATACCATTCGAACAAAGATTTGTCAAGACCACACTCTAAACCAAGGGGTAAGAAAATTTCCCAGAATACACCTGCCACAACGGCAGGATAGCAGCACCCGGAAGTAAATTAGTATTTTTATTGTCATTATTACAAATTTTTACAACAAACAAGCACATGTTTTAATATATTCATAACCGCATTTGTGTTTTACCAACATGCTTTAAAAAAACGCTAAAATAAAACCGCAAAATTTCATAATCTTTAATCCATAATAACTCCTGTATACAATCCACAACATTCTGTCTCTATGACACTCAAATATCCTGTCAGTAATGTCTAGTGGCTGGAAATGAGCTTTTTACAGTGTCTGCTATACTGTTAATGTTGTTTTTGGTGTGTTTACATTGATGCATATGGCCACTGTGTAGTGCTGTCCCAATTCTTACGGGTACATTTTGAAGCCCGTCCCCTTTTCCCACTCAATTTTAAGAGTCAAGGGGAAAGGGAAGTTGTAGGGGTACAAAAATAGAATTGGGATTGGGCCTAAATTTCAAACTTGGTGAACTTTGACTAGTGAAATTGCATCACGTGACTCAGTGAGACCAGTAGAATATCAAAACATGGCCTCTCTGTACCAAAATTTTAAACATCTTTATTTTTTAATGTCTAATGATCTTGTTTAATCCCGTACCTTTTCTCAGCGCAGTACCATAGAATTTCGCATGCTCAAACTCTAGTGTGACTGCAGCTTAAGTGAAACCAATCCTATTTGAAACATTATCAAGATTTTCTCAAAAGTTGGGTTCTTTGTAGCTGGTGAAACCAGAGCTTTTTGGATTGTCTGTACTATCACATCCCCACTTTGACATCAGATCTCCTTTGTTTATACGGCTGTGTGATGGTGATCGTAGTCAAAATACTGCTGGTAATAACTTTGCTAATAGGGCTAAACACAAATATGATAACTTGGTGCACCATGGTGACAGCCTAAGTAACAGCCTATGTAACATAAGTAGGCCTACACTGAATCTGCGTGTGCAGAATTGCGCAGATTTTTAGCTCATCATTGATTTATTAATTTCAATAATATTTTTGACTAATATGAAAATCTTTATATGATTTACTTGTAGTATAGTTTGTACAGTAATATTTTCTGCCTTTTAGTAGCTATATTACATGATAGACTTGCTTTGTTTTAAAAAAAGGTATTACTTTTCATTTTTTTATATTAAGGCTTTAGTTATTATACTCCCAAAATCATTTTGCATAAATCCGCAGATTTTTACCAAAATTCTGTGCAGAAAAAGCAAAAAATGCCCTAAACATAAGCCACCTGTTGTTGGCTTGTCTTGATGGTGCTTAACGGGCGTTTTTTGCATTTTCATGGGACAGTGATTTTTTTATTTATTTATTTTTTTAGCTGTGCTTTGTGAAGATTTTTTTAAGTTTGTAAAAATACCCATGTATGTGTGGACATGGCTTAAAGATCTGTTTGCTGCTGTGTTAGTGTGCGGGGCTGCAGATTTAAATTTTCCCGTGTTTGCGCAAGCAACAATTAGGGTGGGGCTTATGATTCGTAGCCACGTCACGCCAAAACGGCTAAAGACTAATTACGAAAACAATTCATACTAACCACTGTGAGTCGACTCCTTTTTTAGATGAATCAATAGTTTTAAAAACTGTCCACTTTCAGATTTAAGCCTTAGCTGAAAATTTCACTTCACTTAGAGCTGTTATACACTACATGGAAGGTCGTTTTCAAAAACCTATAATAGGGGCTCTTTAAGTCATGCAATGTCTGCAGAGTGAGCTCAGCTGAAAAATACATGTGCCAGATTGCATGAATTCTATCATAGCAGCAGCTCATAAAAAAGTTGTGCAATGGCCCAAAATCTGCTCATAGCTTACTTGATTATGGTTACTGATGGCATCAGTGCCTTCGTCATTCTGCCTTGCCACGTGAGACCAGGCATTGGGACAAGGATCCTTACAAAAGACAAAATGGGAGATAAATCAATCAGGTAGCATAAAGAGAGAACAACTGTATGTGGCCACTACCTGCAAAACCTTTGGGATTCGTGATGGTGTTGCCTTTCTAGTGCTCTTTGTGTCACATTCAATAACACCAAAGCAGTTGAAAAAGGATTCAGATACTTTTATAATTACCTGTTTCCTTTAGTTTTTGAGCAGTGCTTAAAAAACCTATACCTGTTTATAAACTGTTGACACTACATACATGTATCTCTTTTGTACTTTCTACTGAAAAAAGGCTTTTCAGTTATGAGCAAAATTTTTATATACATCTTCTGTTATACTTTTGCTTTGTAACTCTATTGTCTGATTTGTGCTTTAATTCTTAAAATTTGCTGCCACATTATTGGCATATATTAGATGGTTAACAATATATATTTTATAATGCTGGGAAAAAATTAATCACATCCAGAATAAAAGTTTGTTTTGACGATTTGTGTGTGTACTGCGTATATTTATGATGTATAAATAAATACACACATGCATGCATATATTTGAGAAAATGTTCATTCATATTTAGATATAAAATATATGTATGTGATACAAGTTATATATCAATTGAAACTCCTATGTTACAAAATTGTTTTGTATAGTTTTGTTTGTATGTATATGTGTGTGTATTAAATATACATAATAAATATATAGAATATAGACACATGTCAAAACAAGCCCAGCATTATTATTTTATTATTGTGAACAATTTGAGATGACTTTGCTATGGCACCCTTAATTTGTCTGTTATATGAAATTTGATATGTACAGGCAATATATATATACAGTTGAAGTCAAAATGATTAGCCCCCCTTTGAATTTTTTTTCTTTTTTTTTAAATATTTCCCAAAGGATGTTTAACAGACCAATGACATTTTCACAGTATGTCTGATAATATTTTGTCTTCTGGAGAAAGTCTTATTTGTTTTATTTTGATTAAAATAAAAGGAAGTTTTTAATTTTTTAAAACCTATTTTAAGCCCCTTTAAGCTATTTATTTTTTCGATAGTCTACAGAACAAACTATCATTATACAATAACTTGCCTAATTACCCTAACCTGCCTAGTTAACCTAATTAACCTAGTTAAACCTTTGAATGTCACTTAAAGCTGTATAGAAGTGTCTTGAAAAATATCTAGTCAAATATTATTTACTGAGATACAAAGATAAAATAAATCAGTTATTAGAAATGAGTTAAAACTATTATGTTTAGAAATGTGTGGAAAAAAAATCTGCTCTCTGTTAAACAGAAATTGGGTAAAAAAAATAAACGGGGGGGGACTAATAATTCAGGGGGGCTAATAATTCTGACTTCAAGTTTGTATATATATATATATAGATGCTTATAACTATGTAATTAACTTAAATTAAACCGTTTTAGAGTATAGCAGAGTGCATCTGCTATTGTAAAATATAAAGGCAATTGATTGTTTTGAATATATATATATACACAAATATTTGCTATCATAATTGGACTGGAAAGTTTAAAAAAGTGTAGTACTTGACCTTTTTAAATTTCTTTGTTATTTCACATGCATCAATAAATCAATTTACATAAAATGCTGGATACGTGTATGTCATTACCTAAAAGGGGAATTTTTACTGGAGAACATATGAAAGCGATGAGAGAGCATAAGAAGAATTCTGAAGTCCATAAAGTGCTTAGAGAAGAATGTGATAATGTTTAAAGCTTCTCTGAGGTATTCAAAATAAACTAAATACTCTTTAACATATTCATCATTACCATTGCACATGTTGTAAAGGATTTTATAGAGAATCCAAACAGGCTCTCCGCTTCAAAATATCTAGAGGCTGCATTTGATTTTGATCGTCTCGACTCCGAGGTGAAGCTGGTGCCAATCAAGAAACAGATTCCTGCTTACTGTTTTATAACCGATGCTAATAAAAGCCGTCTTGACTTTGCTCTTCTTGAACTGGATGCTGCTGATGAAATCTCAGGTCGCCCAGAGTTGCTCAGTTATTACAGCCCTGGAGTTCCTTCAACTGGTGGGGTTTGCATTGTGGGACATCCTGATGGCGGGAATAAGAAAATGGATGCCTGCTTCATCATTGCTAAAGATAAAGCAATAGAGGCGGCGGATGAACACATCTCTGAGAATGTCACTTTCATTCATGTGGTTTCACAGAGGTGTATAGAAGAGAAATGGGACATTTATGGAAACCAGTTTAGGCTCCTGTTGTCACGAATCAAGACAAGGAGGATCCAAATGCGAGTGTTTTAATGAACAAAGGACACACGAAAGTTCAAACAAAAGAGAGCCACTGACCACAGCGATGACATCAAACAGACAGCGGATGATACCGGGAGACAACAGTCAGGAACAAGGACAAACAAGGACAACAACGGACTGATAACCAGCACATACCACAGGAGGAATTTTATAGCCAGCCAAATGAGGTTCAGCTGGAGGATGATAAGTCAGCTGATGACATCAGCTGATCCTAGCACGCTGTCAACACAAAAGGTAAACAAACACACACCCTCACACATGACAACACACAAGGCATGATACATAACATACAGGAGGAACACACAGATCCATAAACCGTGACAGTACCCTCTCTCCTAAGAGCGCCTCTTGGCGCTCCCAGAAGAGTTTACCTGGCGATTGTAATCATCGATGAGAGAATGATCCAATATGTCCCTTGCAGGAACCCAACTCCTCTCCTCTGGACCGTAACCCT